GGTCTGCAATCTGCGTTATCCTTACTTTTCTGCTACTGCTCTGTATGCAGAAAGCCCTTCTTGTTGCCCTCTTATGTCCAGGGTCTCAGTTTCAACTCTGGCTGACTTCTCGTTTTCCTAATGCCATCTCTGCATGCTTGGGCAATGCTGCTTCATTCATCACTGAAGACTTGTGGTGTAATAATAGATGCTTAAGCTGGAACTTGGAAGATGAAGCTTAAATTATAAAAGTGATTACCATCAGTTTCTTGAAACCGGGGCTCTAATTTTAATTTTTTGATCTTCAGGAGAGCTATCCTACACCTCTTCATCCAGAAGAGATCTTAGAAATTCAATCGTTCAGTGGAGCCTGCCCTGTGGCTCTGGAGAGCCTTTGTTCAGCTTTAAGGCAATGCTTAGTAGTAGCAAGTCCTTGGTTTTCCACTGAGACTTCTACTGTGGGCCAAGTTCTGGCCCACAGAGACAGGGCTTTTAGTTAAGCCAGAAGCTGCAGCAGTGTGCTGTTCATCCCCAGAGTCTTCTCTTCAGAGGCAGAATTGCTTATCCATGGATCGACTGTAAGGAAGTATCCCGGAAACCAAGTCATTTAGATCATGCCTTTTCATTTGCAGCTCTTCCTTTTTCATGATTAAAAGAATTAAAAGGACACAACAGTACATGCCCACACTGTTAAAGCAGATTGCAGTGTTCAGTTGTGGTACAGGAATGCAAAGGTTAAGTTAGTGGTGGGTGTATCACTAGAATGTGACAAAAAAGTTTGCATTTGGGAACTACCATTCAAAGATTTCCTTATACCTTTGCTGTGCTCAGTACAATACATGTTCTACTTAGTATAAAACCCAAATATTTTTGATTTGGTAATAATATTTTTATTTGATAATAGGTGCAAATTACATTGTTACATACCTATGGAGTTATATAATTGTTATCAAATGTGACTGGCAGCAACTACTAGAGAGGATGGCATAGAAGAATCATAAATACAGATGTGGCTAAGGAGGAAGTTTCAGCATGTAATTCTGAAGGGGAGCAATATCAATCAGGAAAGATGATACAGATCTTTAGGATAAATTTCCAATTTTCATAGAATCATAGAATCGCTTTGGTTGGAAAAGACCTTTAAGATCATAAAGTCCAACCTTTAACCTAACCCTGACGTCCCACCACTAAACCATGTCCCTAAGCACCTCATCTATCCTTCTTTTAAATACCTCCAGGGATGAGGACTCAACCACCTCCCTGGACAGCCCATTCCAGAGCCTGACAACCCTTTCTGTGAAGAAGTTTTTCCTAATGTCTAGCCTAAACCTGCCCTGGCGCAACTTCAAACCATTCCCCCTTGTCCTATCATCTGTTACCAGGGAGAAGAGGCCAACCCCCACCTCGCTACAGCCTCCTGTCAGGTAGTTGTAGAGGGTGATAAGGTCTCCCCTCAGCCTCCTCTTCTCCAGGTTGAACAACCCCAGTTCCCTCAGCCACTTCTCGTAAGACTTGTGCTCTAGACTCCTCCCCAGCTTTGTGGCTCTCCTCTGGACATGTTCCAGCAATGCAACATCTTTCTTGTAGTGAGGGGCCCAAAACTGAACACAGTATTCAAAGTGTGGCCTCACCAGCACTGAGTACAGGGGCATGATCACTTCCCTACTCCTGCTGGCCACACTATTCCTGATAGAAGCCAGGATGCCATTGGCCTTCTTGGCCACCTGGGCACACTGTAGGCTCATATTCAGCCAGCTGTCAACCAGTACCCCCAGGTCTATTTCCACCGGGCAGCTTTCCAGCCACTCTTCCCCACGCCTGTAGCATTGCATGGGGTTGTTGTGCAGGACCCATCACTTGGCCTTGTTGAACCTCATCGATCCAGCCTGTCCAAATCCCTCTGCAGAGCCCTCCTTCCCTTGAGCAGATCAACACTACCACCCAGTTTGGTGTCATCTGCAAATTTACTGAGGGCACACTCATTCCCCTCGTCCAGGTCATTGATAAAGATATTAAACAAGACCAGCCCTAGAACTGAGCCCTGGGGGACACTGCTTGTGACTGGCTCCAATGAGAACGAAGGAGCAGAAATGTAAGCATGCATCTACATCTTGAAACTAGATTGGACAAGACTGGAGGTGATTATAGGGAAAGCTTGAAATACCCTCATATATAGTGAAAAAACCCAATAATCTTTAGATATGTTCTAGTCATCATATAATCTGTCTTCTGTAGTGCTGTTGCATATAATATTCCAGTCTTTGAGCTTATAGTAGCTCAAAACTTTTATCATCATTTAAAAAGTGCATGGTCTTGAGAACTAAATAGTGTTGAATATAGTAGCGTCAGAAATGATGTAATTCATTTTTGAGGCATAATAACCTTGAGTGGTAGAAGAATTTCAGTAATCAAGAAAAAAGGAGAACCTTGCACTGATTGTAGAGTCGAGTCACTAATCTTTGGCCACCATGGGATGGGAGAGGTATCTTTATTTTTAAGACTCTCTCAAAAATCATTTCTCATCAGAAATAGGGAAATCAATTTCATGATGCTGTAAGTCTCCTGGGAGACACTACCTGCAGAACAGTCTGGGATTCCAAGACATTTTACCGCAAGAATAGTGGAAGAATCAACATCTTAGTATAGGCAGTTGGAAAAGATGGCTTGTTATACTTGCAATATGTACCCAGAAATGAAGTATGACTATTAATTGCGAACCTCAGTGTTTCAGTCTGGGAAAATGCCAGACAAAAAAGATCTACAGAGCTAGAAGGTAACCACTGGCACAGGAATGAATGCTTAGAGTGGCCAGCTGCAAAGTGGAAGAGGAATCCTGATTAGAGTTATGAGATGCTGATAGAACTTCCCTGTTGACACAGGGTATACTTTGAGTTAGGGCTGAATAATAGTTGGAAAGGAGCCGTCTGATAAGAGTCATAGGGATAGGCTTAGCGCTGCTAACAGCAGATAGCAAGCTTGTTTTGTTCTGGGTAGCAATCATCCAAGAGCTTTCCCAGTCTTCCTGAAGTGTATACTCCTTTTTTTTTTCCTGTCACTTATCAGTGAAGCACTTATCAGTGTTTTCTCTCTATCCTTTGTTTAACCTAGGCTGGGTTTAACAGTGTTAATACCATGTGATGCTTGCTCTTTTCAGCACATGCAACAGTCATCACCTAGCTGGTACTTCCACACTGGCAGCAGCACACGCTATTTAAACGAGTACCTTCGGTACAGTCAATACCACCATTCCTGAGGACAAGTGGCAAAGGGGGGTGCTGATCTCTCTTGCTGGTATCCAGTGATAGGATGTGTGGGAATGGTTCAAAGCTGTGCCAGGGAAGGTTTAGACTGGATGTCAAAGGAAAGCATTTCTTTACTGGGAGGGTGGTCAAACACTGGAACAGGTTTCTTAGAAAGGTGGTCAATGCCCCAAACCTGACAGTTTTTAAGAAGCATTTGGACAATGCTCTTAACATGCTTTAATTTGGTCAGCCCTGACTAGGTCAGGCAGTTGGACTAGATGATCACTGTAGGTCCCTTCCAAGTGAGATAGTCTATTTATTATGGTCATACTGACCACTCCAAAAGATAAGTAACTGCGTCTATATTACTGAGCTATGCCAAGCCTTCTAAAGCCTTGTGATTGCATAGAGCTATCCTACCATCAGAGTGGTCTTTTGTCCCATTGGCAAGCTTCTGGAGCTTTGATAAACACACGTTTTCAGTGAGGAAATCTTCATGTGCCCATAAATTGGTTTGCTTTCCTCATGTGAGAGAAGTTCGTTGTCATTGTGATTTGCCAGCTGCTCTTGTAGTTCTTTGGCCAGACATCCTAGCAAAGTGACTTTGTGTTATACAGACCTCGGTGTCTGACCATTTGAAAGAGCTAAGGGTATTAAATTTCTTTTTACAAGGGCTATTCTCAGCTACTTTTTTGTTGTACTCTTGAAGTGTTGCTCTAGTTTAGGGCATGTGATATCTTTTTATTTGAACACTGCTCTAAGAATTTATCTGCACCCTGCCTTTCTCATTCCTGTGATTTTGGGGAATGATAGCATTCTGAGTTTGTTATAAGGTGTTGTGAATTTGGACTGCACTAGAGAAGGTAATCTGTGTCATTGCTCTGGTTTCTTTTAATTTTTTCTCTGTACTGCTCAAGTTTCTTGTCTCTGAGGCTTTGAGCTTTGGTGACCTATATTTTTCCTTTTTTATTTATTTCATTAAGAAGAAAGTTTGTTCTTTTGAATCCGAGGTTCCAAAAGAGAAAGATGAAATGGTGGAGCAAGAATTTAATCGTCTGCTAGAAGCCACTTCCTATCTCAGTCATCAGCTGGATTTTAATGTTCTCAATAATAAGCCTGTCTCCCTAGGTCAGGCTCTGGAGGTTGTCATACAGTAAGTGACCTCTCTTCGTGGTAGACTTTCATATTTTGTGGAGGATTTTCAGAAAGATACCCAAAACAATTGTGATGTTCCTAGGGTAAGCATTACCCACTTAATACAGCTGTTTGGTCTCTGCTGAGTTCTCATTTGTGTATGTGTTTCTCATTTATTGAAGCAAAATATGCTAGAGATGCTTAAAGGAGCAAACATCTTCTCTTGAAACCTTCCTTCAGGAATCACTGCCACAGTAACTGATAGCAGATAATTGACTTAATATGAATTGGTGTACATACAGCCCACTTATGCTACTTGAAAGCTAATGTCATTTGTAATACGCCTTTTAATAATAGTAGGTAACTTCAGACTCAGGTTTTAGCTAGTCAAGTATCCCTTATTTAAAGAAACTTGTATTAATTTTCTAATTGCCTTATAAGTGTTTACTAAAATGCCCCACGGCATGCTTTTATTGCATTGCGCTAATTAGATTGTGATAATGAGTTTTCTCAATAACACTAGGATTTTATGCTGAACTGACTCTCACTTCTCACCTTTTCCAGATTGCAGGAGAAGCATGTGAAGGATGAGCAGATTGAACACTGGAAAAAAATTGTGAAAACGCAGGAGGAATTGAAAGATCTTCTTAACAAGGTGAGATGATGACATTTAGAACAAGAGGATACATTGTGTTCCTCAAAGTGGCAAAATGCACAAAATCTTCCATGGAAAAATATTGCCATTGATGCTGTTCTTAAACATAACTGTTCATTTAAGACCTGCCTAGAAGCACTGTTATGACAGAGGAGTCTCTGTTTTTGAGGAGGAGCACATAAGTGATTACGAAGAAGACTGTAAAAAGTACGGGAAAAGAAAGGGAGAGGACAGACATGATAAACAGTGTTGTGTCATAGCTTCCTTCAGAGATGTTGATAATGACCGGGAGTGGGAGGTGTATTTTAAAATGTTTACTTTCTTTACCACAATCTGATCTGTAGCATAGAAAGAGTGGTTTAGGCATACTTACAACAGTTTTATTTGTGGTAGATGACATCTTTACTTCTCCGTGTAAGTCTCTCAAATTAAAAATGTCTGAAGACAGCTCTCATATCCTACGTTTTTTGCAGTATGTTTTGTAAGAAGTCAATGATGTTGGATTTAAGCCATGTTGTTTTGGGGTTAGCGGTATTTATTGTGGTTTCTTGGAGGTAGAATTGCATGTAAGTAACATCTGCCAAAACCAGGAAATCTCTTTGGTATAATGGCATGTTTGAGATGAATATCCATTTAACACAGTAACTTGCATGAAATCTACCTTCCCTCATGTTTTCTTTTTTTCCTTTATTTCTCCCTTTTCCTACTCCACCTGAAAAAGATGGTGAATTTAAAAGAGAAGATTAAAGAACTTCATCAACAGTATAAGGAAGCATCAGAAGTGAAGCCACCACGGGATATTACAGCAGAGTTCCTTGTGAAAAGCAAACACAGAGATCTGACTGCACTTTGCAAGGTAAAGGATGACAGACAGCACTTAAGTCAGTGTTTCTGAGGACTTCAGCAGGCAGATAAAATTAGCCAATATAAAACTTTCCACATCTCTCACTCTGATCCAACATGATCAAGAGAATGTGATTGATGGTAACTCTGGGTTGTAATACTGATAACAGGGCTGCATAAAGTACCTTTAGGTACCCATCTTTCATAGCTCATGATGGAGAGTATTAACATGTTGAAGTCTCAGTTTTGGGTAACAGTCTGTGCTGGCTCATGTCAGACAGCATTTAATGTTTTGAAGGCTAAATTTTAGGTCAGACTTAGAAATAAAATCTGTATTTGAAGAGAGACGCTCCTTCTGTAAGATAAAAAGGTGTTTTCTTGAGTAAAAGACTTCTTTCTATCCAAAGATTATAATTTACAGAGCTCTGTCTTGACAAGAAGAATTAGTCCTGCCCTCTGTGTGTATCCTGATGTAGACATATGCCTTAAAAGGGAAGTCTTAAAAACTGTTCTATGATAGTGAGAGACACCTTGCTAACCCAGGTGAGATAGAACCAAGGATCATTTTTCAGTTACTTGTTCAACAAAAGATACCTACTGTTATTTGGAAGCTCAATGTGTTTATGTATATGTTAAGTAGTACATCTTCTATTTTGTCACCAACGAACAGCTTTGTGCTCTTTTCACTACTGTTGGACGCTGCAAATTATTTTGCCTTGAAGGAAAATGATTGTTGCCTTTAATATCTAGTTCTACTAATGTTTTTTAGAATAAGAAGAAAACCAACCCTCTTAAAGAAGCTTGAGTTAGATCATGTCTTTGCCTTTTGTATGACTGCTTCTGCTTTGGAAAACTGTGTTCAATATTAACTATAATCTTTTAAGAAAGAATAATAGAAATAACATTTTGTGCAATATGAAAAAGCTGTCAGTACCATAGGGACCCTTACAATACCAGGACTGTAATGGACCTTCATGTTCTTCAGATCTGAGTGTTTAAATTCCTGAAATATTAGCATACTAATCTTTTCTTAAGTGTGGCATAGAATTCTGTATATTCGAACAGCAGAAGGGCAATATATGCTGGATTAAATGTTCAAAAAATAAAGAACTTGATTTAGATTCCACTAAACTCCTGAATCTTCCACTGATTTCTCTTGAGATTAGGTCTAGTCTGATGCTACATGATGTCTTTAAGTCCTTTTACATGTAAACTGATTTTAATGTTAACTTTTAATCTTTTTAGGAGTACGATGAATTGGCAGAGACACAAGGAAAGCTGGAAGAGAAGTTACAAGAACTTGAAGCCAATCCTCCAAGGTAAAGATACAAACTATAAAATAAATGCTCAGGAAAGCAGTTCTTTTTACTACTTTTCACTGAGTTTCAAAAATGCTATGTTAGGCTTTCTTTTAATTATGATAACTCAAGGAGTTAGGAAGGTAGAAACACGAAGTTTGAGCTCCCTCAGTTTTAGAACTCATCTTCCTCATTTTTAGAGATGAGTCGGTCAAAAAAGGTGGTTCTTAGCTAGGGCTTGTTACAGTAGAAATACTTGCTGTAACCAGTACCTGATCTCAGTCTTGAGATTTTAAATCGCCATCAGTAATGACAGCATACCAATCCTGCTGATTTTGTCAGAATATTATTATTTTGTGCTTTGTGTGATTATAGTAGGTTTTTAGTCGTCTTTATACGTGCTACTTAAGCCATTATTTATGTAACTTTTTTAATTTATAAAGTTGAGTTTCTGGCTTCTCTTAGAATATTTTACATGAACTCTACTTTGAAAATGTGAATTTTCTCTTTTTTTGATATTCAGCTTTCCTGAAGGAGGTCTGAATGTTTGAAATAGAAACTGCTTGTGTTCTCTTTTAATTTTTTTTTATTTCTCCACTAAGGAGGGACTCAAACAAAAAAAGATTGTGAATAAATTTTGAAAAGTAATGCATTTGCAACATCATACTCTAGCAAACTAACTGTCTTTGTGTTACGTTGTTGGTTTTTTTCCTAGTGATGTTTATCTGTCATCAAGAGACAGACAAATACTCGACTGGCATTTTGCAAACCTGGAATTTGCTAATGCTACACCCCTCTCTACGCTTTCACTAAAGCACTGGGACCAGGTAGCTAATTAATGTATTCACTCAGCAATACACTAAAAACTTAAACTATATTTATTTCATTCTCATGTAAGCTTCTCTATGTTAACAATTTCTAAACATTTAAGTGCTATCTGCTTTTATGCACATACTGAGCTCTTACATGATTATTATTTGCTGATGACATTCCAGACAGCTTTTTGTTAGTTAGTGTCAAAAGTCTCTTATGATACTGTCTACTGAAAGTTCCTATACTTAGTACTTGACTAATAAACAGAAAGGGTTTCAAATTTATTAGACTCACTCTTCAAAAAAAAAAAAAGTTTTTGAAAAAATGTTGCCATTGTTTAAGAGTTGCTGATTATTTTCTGTTGAATTATGTGATTTCATTATAAATGCATGCTTTTTATGCATCTTCATTTCAGGATGATGACTTTGAATTCACAGGCAGTCACTTGACTGTGAGGAATGGATATTCCTGTGTGCCTGTAGCCTTGGCAGAAGGGCTGGACATTAAATTAAACACAGCAGTTCGTCAGGTTCGCTATACAGCATCAGGTAAATGAAACCACCTCATCCCAAGTATGATCATAAAAATAAGATTTCATTGCTTCTGGAAGCAGATGTGAAGATTGATCTCATAAATACCCTCCCATTATACATTTTGGGTTAGATAAACAGCCACATTTTTTACTGTGATTGTGTAGGAATCTGTTAGAGATTTACTCATCCTTAATGTTTTTTGCTTATTTCTGGGGCTGGTTTGACACCATCCTTTTCAGTTGTATTTACTGATTAACAACTTTACATCCATTCTCCCATTTCTTTACTTCATTGATTGAAGCATTTGGAGTAAGAGGTCTTGGACTGCTTAAGACTTGGTGTCACAGGATCTGTTATTAGAAGTATAAATGAATGTAATATGGACTCAAACAAATGGAAGGAATGTATCTTTTTGTTGTTGTTCAAAACATTGGGCTTGGGAAACTGTCAACCAGGAGAGCAACTCCATGAGAGGCTTACTCTCTACTTGCTATTTATTTATATATAATTTATTTAAATATAATTTCCCAGCCTAGATGAAGTTCTAGGCTTGTCCCAGTATGGCCATTTTCAGACACTCTGTAAATGACACTTTCTGGAATTGAGCTGTGGCCGGTAACATTCACTTGCCTACAAGTTCTGTCTCCATCAATGAAATGTTTTCTGCTATGGATATGTGTTTATGGTAGTTTCTTTAATTTTTAATCCAATGCTCTTGCGTCCTGGCCTATTAAATGATTGTTTTTCTCTCCCCTTTTCAGGCTGTGAAGTGATAGCTGTAAATACACGATCTACTAGCCAGACTTTCATTTACAAATGTGATGCTGTGCTGTGTACTCTTCCCTTGGGAGTATTGAAACAGCAGCCTCCAGCAGTACAGTTTGTGCCGCCTCTTCCTGAGTGGAAAACTTCTGCAGTGCAGCGTATGGGATTTGGCAACCTTAACAAGGTGACTTGGTCATTGAGAGAAGTGCTGCAAACCAGGGGTTGCGATAGGCAGGATCTGAAATGTGTATGGAATCTGTATGGTGGCTGAGAGGAAGAATACTTTTTCCACTGCTATTTTGCTATATTTTGATGCTGAAAATTATCTGAAGAAATGTAACGACCTCTTCTCTATTTCCCACACAATTTTTAAATAGTTAGATTTCAGAAGTAGGTTGACTCAGTATGTCTGCTGTAGCTTGTTAACCAGCAGATTTGTAAACTATGACAGCATACTAACCTGTGGAAGGCAATATAGGTCCACACCTTTATGTATTACATATATGCGGTATATATGCACCAGACCTTCCCAGTGATAAACATCAATGAGTGTAATTGTCTTTATTTTTTCCTCTGTGCTCTTGCGAACTCTTGATTCTTTTTATTTCTAGGTTGTGTTGTGTTTTGATCGCGTCTTCTGGGATCCAAGTGTCAATTTGTTTGGTCATGTTGGTAGCACTACTGCAAGCAGAGGAGAACTTTTCCTGTTTTGGAACCTGTACAAAGGTAGCTCTGGTGCATATCTACTTTTGCTAGTGTCTTTATTTGTGCAGTTTCAGATCTAGAAAAGAGCACTTTTTAAGATGCTGTTAGTGTTCACATACGGATATGATAAAATGATTAGTATTTGTAGGAAGACAAATGGAAGCACTGACACACCACTGCACCAGTGACTTGCAAACAGTTCTTTAGTAAATTAGGGCAGAATATGGATGAGTATGGGTTTACCAATGCTGAATTCCAGGCTATGTCTGTTAAACTGCGTTGCTACCTATCTACTGTAACACATGCATTTTTATAGGCTACCTTATTGTCTTGCACCTTGGTGAAGTTGCCATGTGACTTACTCAGTGTTCTCTTGGCTGCCTCTATTAAGCATCTAAACTAAATATTAAATTTAAATACTAAGCAACTAAATAGTTGCCACTGGTATTCTGAAAAACTTAACTTTTTTAATTTTTATTGTGCTGTATTAAGAAACCAAGATCTAATCTAATATGTTTATATAGTATTTCAGAAATGCAGCAAATAATGTGTGTTCTGTTTGCTGAACAGCAGTGTTGTCTTAGTTAAGTATCTACTGTGTCAGGAGGATGTATTGAGTTCTCAGAGAAGAGTGTTTTGTCTCTGCAACATTTCTGAATTAAAAGCCGTTTCTTAGTTCATAAGTCTCTTTGAAATTGAGTTTCTCTCTGGCCAGTTGGAACATTGTTTCAGCTCTTCTCCTCCTTCACTGAGCTTCTCATGCAAATGGGACTGGCATCCAGTTTAGTCTTAGTTTTGAAAACCTCAGCTTCCTGGATGTTTTTCAAGTTGAACTGACAGTTTGAAGCCAGACCTCTTTCATGGGGCTGTCTGTCTAATCAGGGATGATTTGATAACTGTAGATGAGCCCCTTTCATCTGCCACCTCAAGTCCTTTCTGGTACAGGTGACTTTGCTGCCCAGGATTTCAAGCTTAAGTGTCTAGGAACTAACCAAGATCAATTACATTTTTTTTCAGATGTAAGGGCTGCTGTTGACTTGTGTATTCTCTTATGTGGCTGAGTTGCAGAACTCAATGCTTGTAGGTTATCCTGCTTCAATTTCTCAGGGGTGTGCAGCGCAGCCTTTACAGCGTATTGAACACTCAGATTTCAGTGGAGCAGACTAGAGGCTTTGTGATCGCTCCATTCCTCTTGCTGAGCATTACCATTCCAGCTTGATGAGCTGCAGGCCTATCCATATGGATAAGATGCAGTGTGCCCTGGAGGAAAGGCAAGCTGTGGTGTCTCCAATTTGTTGAATGGGCGACCTTGTTTCTTGTTTTGAGCAACAAAGCAGCTATGACTGTAGACCATGGGTCTCAGACTGACAGGTAATTTTAGAACTCCTCTTAATAAAATACTTAAGTAGGCAAAAGGTATTGTTCTGCCTGTTTCTGCAGCTGGACTTTGCTTAGTTTTGTTTTATCTGCAGCTGGTGTCTACCACAAGAGGTTGTCAGAAGAAATTTTCAGTGAGCATACTGGTTTTGTTCGTTGCCATTTATCATACTAAAAGCAAAGGTGTATATACAGTGAGCACTGTTAAATGAGGTCTTTTTCTTGCAGATGACTGTTTAAAGTACCAGTGGGTTTTCTTCCACTCTATCATGGGCAGGCCAGGTTTTTCTTTTAACTGGACAAAATTGCTATGCAGGGAAGATGCTTTTCTAGGGTATTAATTGTTAAAATGTTTGAGAAGACTTGACTGGAGAAATGCAAGTAACGAGCCTTGGATAACAAGCCTGTTTGTGTATCTGCTTTTGTGGCTTTTAGATGGCTCTATTACATTCTTAACAAGTAGTGCTGGGGTTTTAGTTTAGATGGGAAGACCATCTGGTATAGAAAGGTTTTGCTGCTAGATGTAAAACATTCCTTCTCATGAAAATAGGCAGAGCACATAGAAATAAAACAGAAATGCAATAAAATCCTATGCTAAACACAAGTCAGATGGCTGAAATTGAAAAAATTGATTACTGTTTCTCATGGATAGTTAGGTGGCAGTTAATGTGATTGTGAAATATTAAAGTAGACCTGAGTGAACTTGTGAAGCTGTTATTTATTTCATATTCTGCATTTCTGTTGCCATAGTATTCTGAGCAGAGACTATTTAAACTGAACAGGTTGGAGAACAATTGTTTCTGGATTACTAAAAAACCTGGAAGTGTCACAGGACTCACTGTATTAGCTCTGTGGAAGTTCTTTAACCGTCTTGTGTTGGCAGAGACCAACTGATCTCTGAGAAGTGTTTAAAGGTAGTTCGGTGAATGGAGTGAAACTCAGATGAGAAGACTACACATGTTTGTACTGCTGTTGGGTGACCTGTTGTAGCTCAGACAGGAATCCTCCCAGTGGTTTAAGTCTAGTTCAGGTAATGACTGCTGAGAAAACCTGTAGCCTTGGTAACACTATGAGTGTCCTGGCACATCTGGCCTGTGCTGTTGGTGCCTCTTGCTCCGCCATGCTGTTGGATTATTGTCGTAGCCTTATGTAGGCACACTTCAAGGTGAGGACTCCCATCAGCGCAGGGCAGAGGAACTCCTGGCAGAAAACAGTGTTTTCTGGAAGGCCAATGACATTTCAGTCTCTGTGTTCTTGCCTGGCTCTTCTGTTTTTCCTAGAGACATGCTGAAAAAGATGAGGCCCTTTCTCTGTCATAGTTTTGTGGTTACTCACTGTTCCTTGGCTAAACCACGTTCTTGGCTTGCTGTATGGTGGCAAGGCTCAGTAAACATCACTGCCTTTCTTTCAGAAAATGGAGTTTAACTAGAGAAGCAATCCTGTATGTTTTTTCTCTAAGATCTTTTTTCGTCTAAGTATCTTTTTTTTCTAGTCCCAAAGGTCCTGAATATTGAAGTGACTAAATTGGATCTTGAGTAGTGTAATTATCTTTGTAGTAATAACAGCCTTACTAGTCTAACTTCTTCAGAATTTCAAAGACACTTTTTTTTTTATTTTTTATTTTTTATTTAACCAGAATATATTATTGGGCCTTTCAGCATGTATATTGCAACTGAACTTAAGCCAGTTTTCTTTGAAAAGCAGTAACTTGATGGAAATGTGTGCCAGGAGATCTCTGTATATACCAGGATATAAGGAATTCACTAATCACTTTGGAAACCTGTACAAAAGTTAAAGCTAAATTTTTTAACAAGGACTTTATTTCCCATTTCAATATACTTGACATCTGTTTCTAGCTGTGGTATTTCCTTTGCTAAATTTAGGACTTCCATAAATATCTCCATGAGGAGAAATATCAACTGAGAGAGTTTTCATTAAGTAACGCTGCTCGGGTCTGAGTCATTTCTTGTAAATGCATGTTTTTGCCACTCGGTTGTTTTGGTAGCTCCTCAATACTTACCGAAGATTCTCCTTGAATTTGTGATTCCCAAAAATGTATGCTTAGTCTTACCATAACTGGTCACAGGAAAGATGATCTCATCTATCTGTTTGTGTATCCTATAATCATATTAACACACCTCACCACAGCATCACATGGGCAGCTGAGTTACTTAAGATCTGTCCATTTGACTTTTGAATTCTTCTCAGACTTTCTGGATATTGTTCATAGTTTCCACTCCACTGAGATTATTTAATGTGTATGTGTGTTGGTAATGAAGAAATCTAGGTACTTTGTATGAGTGTAGTACTTAGTACAGGTAACTTAACTGCTATGCTGATGTTAATCGTATCTAAATTAGATTGTTTGGAAGGTATTGAGTTCCCTGAAATGTAGCACAGGTTAAATCCCAGTGGAAACTCTGATGTCAAAGGAGTGAGGTCTTCACTACAGAAAACCTTTCTTCTGTATGCTGTACTTCCTAATGTCTGTATTTAATTTTTAATACATCAGTTCTCTTGATAATTCTAAATAGTGCTATAGTGCATATTAATTCATTTTCCTTTTGGTAATTTGACATAATGGTGGAAGATTTGGGGCTACTTCTGTTGGGCTTGTTTAGTTTTTAACCTCATGACTTAGCTGCAGATCCATGCCTATTCAAGTCCAACTTTTCTGATCAAAATGTTCCATTTCAATAATTCAATTGTTTTTTCTCTTTCCACTCCCCGCCCCCCAGCACCAATTTTGTTGGCCTTGGTAGCAGGAGAAGCGGCAGGGATCATGGAGAATATCAGTGATGATGTCATTGTTGGACGGTGCCTTGCCATCCTCAAAGGCATATTTGGTAGCAGTGCTGTGCCACAGGTTAGTACAGACAGTGTCTGTGGGTAATTTCTCTGCGTTTCAGAATGTCCTGCCATTCTCAGTAGCTTGCCTGCAGTATTGAGCTGTTCAGTATCTATACCACCCTTTGGTTGTTCAGGGCTTTCTGGGAGGAGGCATTGTTTGCAGCTTTGGGGGGATTGTGGTAAGTTTTCTTGTTTGGTTGCGGGGGTGGAGTGGGTGTGGGTGGTTTGGGGGGATTTTTTTTTTTTTTTGAGAAGATTGTTTTAGACCAAATAAGACTTTAGCATTTCCAGAGTACCAAATACTTAAATTAATTTTCTGCCTTTTTGGCTAGTGACAGCACTGCTTGCATAGTCCTTGCCATGTTCTGCACCTTCTCTAAAGTGCGGTAAAGCTCTTGACCAGTGAACTCCACAAAGAAACTGGTTTGGCTGGAAAATAACTGAAGGGGGAGGAAGGAACTAAAAACAGTTTTTCAGCTGGATCAGTTCCCTCTGCAGCTGGCCAACAGTTAGGCACAGTAAGTGTAAAAGGAAAGGTTAGCGAAGGGGGAGTTTAGAAAATACTTAAATATTACTCAAAAAAAAAAAAACCTCCAACCCAGCTTGTGTACTTAAGACATTGATTTGAAAAGTCTTACAGCTGTTCAACCTACAGTGTATGTGACTTAGTTGAATGCTTGCTCTATTCTCCTAATGGGCAGTGTGGAAGCGGTTCTTATAAATGGCGTTGGTTGTAAATAAATAGCTCTGCTCCACTGGGATTTCTATAATAGTAAAGTGATAGAAAAAAGTCTGTGGTAACTTTAATACACCAGTCTTCTCTGATCATTTGGCCAGGTGTAAATTGGACTGTTTGCTTGCTTGGTATTTGCATGAGGAATAGATGCAGTTTGTCTTTATTATAGAACTGTTGTAGAGCTCTCTTTGAACATGGCTTTATCTTCCCCAGTATTTTACTGCTTTCTATATGATGAACAAATCCTCACAGCTGACTGTAAGCGTGGATTTTTAGTTAATGAGTGAGTCTTATACTTTGGAAATGCTCAATCAGTTGAATTTTAAGTCTGAGACTGGAGAATGCAAGAGGAGGTAACCCCAGGCTTACCTTTCTGATAAATCCAGAGCTCCTTCTCTAAACTCTCGGAGGACAGTTTCACTTCTAATGAGATCTCTCTATTCGAGGAGCGTTGAGACTCTTCTGTCTACAGGTGCTGTAGAAATCCTGTAGTGTGTGGAAATCACTTGAGTGAACCAAGAGAGATGTTTTACACTGGCTGCTCTCTAGTAGGGTTTTCAAGTGGGAAAAAACCCCAAATTGCAGAATCTTGAGAAATACGGATTCTACTGTAGATAAACATACAATTTAGAGAAGTTATTTGAACTTTTAAAATATTTCAGTGCATTAACTGATATCCCCTGTTACGGAATGACTCTATATCTGGTCAGTCATTCAAAGGAGAAAGCAGTTCTCGGTTGTGATAAGAGAGATCTAAGTGAGTTTCTATTTGAATGTATTTGCAGTTCAGGTGCTTATGTACTATGAGCACTTGATAGTGGAGAGATTTGGTGGAGGCCGTCTTCAGGACAGCCATTCATCAGTCTGGATAAACTGAAGTCTCATCTGTTGTACTGGATGAACAACTGTATATCCAACCCAAAACATTCTATGATTCTATGATTCTTTGAGGTGGAGCTTGCTGTGCAATTGCAGTTCTTGTATCTGTCCAAAACAGGGAAGTAGAAAAGTTAAACAAAAGCAACACTTCACTGGAATGTGGCTGATCCTCCTCGTTCCTGGTGCTTCTTGTTACTGTCTTATTTTCTCTTTCTGGTTTCTTTTTCATTTCCTGAAGATGGATATAATGACTTTCCCCCCTGCTATTCTTCAACACATGGAAACTTTTTCAGCCTTGCTGTGCAGCTCACCTCTGCAAGCTTCATGTCCTCTGTAGAGTAGGATTCCAGCTTTGTACCACTTCCATTGTAGTAGTTTATCCTCTAACAGTCCTTCTACTTATTCGTAGGGAATCCTAATTACAGCATTTGCTTGTCAGGATGAAAACAAAAGTTGACTCATACCCATATGTGAGTGTGTGGGCACATGAACACCACAGTTGCTGTTTGGACCAGTGCAGTCTCAGTACTGGGGAACCGGTACTTTCATATTCTGCTCTACAGTTGTATCAGGGTTAGCCATACCTTCAGAACTACCTCAGTGAAGTAGTTTCTATCTGGCTTTATTCCCTGTTAGACTGCAGTGCTGCATGTGATTACTAGAGAGAATTAAGAAATTTATGAAATGCCTCAAATTTGTCTTTGTCAGACGTACACGTGATAACATACAGTGCCACCACAGTGGTCTCCATCCAACAAAGAGAGAAATGTGAGGTTACTTTTTTCTCAAGAAGCAGTCAATATGATGGCTGGGTCATCACTCAGTTTCTTACCTTTTGGATAAAAAAGTGCTGAAAATTCTGTTGAGGAATTTTCTCAATTAAGTCATCAGACCATATTGGTCTCCAACCCCCAGTAGTGTCTTACACCTTGGAACATGGCCCCAGTCCTCTGGCTAGAAGGCATCAAATACAGTCCAGCTGAGGCCAGCCTGAGAGAGATCTTCTCAGATCTGTTGGTGTTGGGGTTCAGGAGATTTCCCTTGCCATGATGTGGTACAGTGCCTGCTTGACTGGTTTATGGATAATGCCCTCGCTAGATAGGGCCTCTTTCTTTTCCTTTGTGGGAAGGTCTGTTCAAGTAGAAACAACTGATGAAATATCTTCGTGCCCAAGGAGAGGAGAGAGGTTCTTGTTTTGATGTTTGCATTTTTACAGGGTATGATTTCTACTAAAACTCAGTAACACATTTGGACAGAGTCAGGGCTATTTTAAGATTCACACCCATCACTTTTCAGTGTCATATGTCTGCAAGGTTATGAAAATGTCCCATTTTCTCTTGACTGCTGTTATGCCTTAGAGTGATACGGGTTTGAGTCTTGGTGATGCTCTCACTGTTGCATCTTTTAGAATATCTTTCGTCATGACCATTGCCTTGGCAAACCAGATGGATTGGAGACATATAGGTGTTTGTATAGGTGCCCTTCCTGCAGTCATTTTCCTCATGAATTACAGACCTTATATAGGCCTATATTATTGTCAAGTCAAAAGAGATACTCCAATGGGCTGTGGCTGAAAGAAAGTAAAGGAGTAGGAAGTGTGGAGTGTCATTATGTTGATAACAGGAGAAGAACCAGAGCAAACAGTACACAGTGCGCATGTACAGCTGACTACAAAGTCTGAGTTCCAGTGCAGAAGCTATGTGCAGTAGGTTCTGGTAATACTGGAAGGAACTTGTCTTTGGTGGCAATACCTTAATTATTTACCTCAGTATGTGTTAGCGTGGAATATAAGCTTGGAGCTCCACCATTAACATCAGCCTAAGGACTTTGTGTCTTTTATTCTTGCAATTTGCATTTTTTGTATTTTGCACTAACTGTAGAACTTGTACTGTGTCAACAACTGAAGTTGCTGTCTTGTCTCAGCCTAAAGAGACTGTGGTGTCCCGCTGGCGTGCTGACCCATGGGCCCGGGGTTCATACTCCTATGTAGCAGCTGGATCTTCTGGAAATGACTATGATTTGATGGCTCAGCCAATTACTCCAGGGCCAGCCATTCCAGGTGCTCCTCAGGTGAGAGATGTCTCAATTCTTTTTAGAAAAACCTCAAAACAGGATAATTCTTCTAAGTAATTTGCATACATATCTAACCACCAGTTTAGAGAACTTGCATCTTCTCATGTGTTATTAGAACCTGTAAAATAAGTCAGTTTTCTATCCATGAATTCTGCCTTCCCAGGTTTGGTGTCATTTGTTTACTTAGAAAAAGAGTGCTTTTATTCAGAAAGTCAATTTGGTAATGTCTGAACAGAGTATTATAATCATATATATTTACTGTGTCTTGTATTCCATATTTATGTTGTCCATCACCATATTTAAGTGAGCTGTAGTGATTTGAAAGAGGGTGAAGGCCAGAATGAGAGGAACAGGAATCAAATGGTCTCTCCCAAATTGGGAGCAAACACAATGAAGGCATAAGTCATCTCCAGTTCACTCTGAGACAATGAAAGTTTGAAAGCAACAGCCATTCTGGAAGCACAAGCAGAGCAGGATTATGGCTTTGGCTTTATTTAGGTTCTTTTTCTAGTCACACAAGTCATTAATAAACAAAGCTATGGATAAAATGATTCTCTGCAGAGTCTAATATATGAAAGGCTATTTTTCTCCTCCTTTTTATAACACTGTCAGTAGTTGCTTTAGGTCTCGGTTTTAAGAGAAACTGCTAATTTAAGTGAATTGCTGAGGTTTTGTTTGCTTACTGTGCTAGAGTTCATGTACCAGGATCAGAAACCATTATTCTTAAATACATTTAAAAGTTTGATTATAGAGATAGAATGTGTGCTGAATGCTTATTCAGCATACAGCTGGGGACATTTGTCTCCCCTGCTTGTCTGGTTCTGAAAGCATTGTCTTTCAAGTAAAGCTTTATTATCTTTGTACCAAAGCAAAGATACTGGCAAATAATTGCAAAATAGTTCCTCATATTATGGTCGTTACAAGCATGAAACCCTCCTGTGAAATGAAAGGTGTATATAAAGATTTTCTTGGTAATTTGTAGGCCAGGTTAAAATATTTTTGATATAGACTATTTCATATGTACCACCTTAATGCTAATGGAGACTGTGGTGTGATTGGAGGACTTTTAACATTCTTCTTAAAGTATCTGTTTGCTGCAGGATCTGAAAATGCAAACAAGCCTTAACAGTGTTCTCTGTTCCCTCTAGCCTATTCCTCGCCTCTTTTTTGCGGGAGAACATACAATTCGCAACTACCCTGCAACTGTTCATGGTGCTTTACTGAGTGGACTGAGAGAAGCTGGCCGCATTGCAGACCAATTTCTTGGGGCCATGTATACTTTGCCTCGCCAGCCTACGCCTGGGGTCCCCCCACAACAAGCTACCAGCATGTAAGAGAAGTAGAAGGTATCAGAAGAGGAGCAATAAGACCACAGTGCTGCTATTTGGGATGAAGATCTTCACATAGTCTGTAACAGGATCTGCTGAAAGGACTCAGCCATGACTTGCTGTATAATACTTCCATTAGAATGGCCTTACAAAAAATTACTAACCTTTGGCTTAGCATCCTTTTACAAAAATCTCTTGTAGCTGTTTGAAGTGTCAGTGTAAATAGAATCCTTTCCTACCAAGCTGGTCAGGGACTTTTTTGACTCTGCAGATATTTTTTGAAAGTCGAGCTTGTAGCTAGAGATTTTTTAGGGGTTTTTTTTTCTACCTATACATGTATTTACAATTCAGTAATTGCACAAGGCCCTCTAGAAGCTCATTGCTATGAATAGTAGCTTAGTGTAGAATTTATGTAAACTTCTTTGTTGTTTTTTTTTTTTATTGTTTTGTTTTGAAGAATAATATTTTTTGACCAATTCTATTCTTATCTGGCATTTGAGAATTTGGTGCAACTGTTTCCCTACCGGTAACAGCAAATCACACCCCTCCAAAATGGTCCATTGGCTGCTACAATATATGCATCCTGTTTTAGAAAGAAAGCTGGTATTACTAAGAGTGTGCTAAGCATACTGTTTTATTAAATACTTTCAACCAGAAAAAATCATCAGAACTGGATATTTTTAAGTTTAAAAACTAGAAATATTATTTGTATTTGTTTATATAGAAACAGAGTTATCTAGACAGTAAGTTAGCTGAAGGACCTGATCTCTTGACTTCTGCGTGCTGCAGGTGGGCGCTCTGTGTACCTGTTGATTTAATTTCTGCTAGGTTGATGAGATGATGTCGCAGCTGCTGTTATTATGCTTCTGAAGACCATTTTGGTTTGGCTGCTTTTCCAAATATTTTCCTTATTAATTCAGTGCATACAGCCTTCCTTTCATTGCACAGAGCAGTCTTATTTAAACATTTAGATCCTGTTTCCCTCTCCATCTTTCCCCATTTAGCATTAGATTTTTCTTATTTCTTCCAACTTCTCTCATCCTCTTCTTTCTACAGTTTATTTCTAGCTCATCTAACCACAGTCTCTGTTCACACTTTTTTCTGCTTTTCAGTTTTTATGTTCTCACTTTCTCTGACCCCGTGTCTGTACATGTGCAGTCTGTCCCAACTCCATCCTGTCCTTGCACCTTCTGTTCTGCTAGAGGACCAACATTTCCTCTTGTTCCATACTCATCCCTCTACAGCTACACTGCCCACACTTCTTGCTGAAGCACACACACACACAAACACACAGCCCCTACTTGTTTATAGCTGTATTGTCTTTGGCCATGGACTCTCCATCTTCCAGCATCATTGCTTCTACTGTTTCCTTGTGTCTCTTTCTTAGCAGCTGGAGATCCTTTTTCCCCTGACTATGACTGTTACCTTCTTGTTGCTTTCTCATTAGATACTGAAGTCCACGAGGGGGCATCGCCATAGGCAGCCTTTCTGACAAGCCATGAGAAAGGGGAGGACTCTGATGTGATGGGGGCAAGAGTCTGTGAGTGGGCACAGACTTGAAGTGTCAAGGACCAAGCTCATTTGAAGTGGCTAAATTTGGTGCCACGGGGAACTCTCTTTCCCAAACCTCTGTTTAAATTAGTGCTACCTCCCCCGTATCTCTAACTTTGCAAACATCGTTGCTACTTGGGCCCTTTCTTGAAAGGGGTACTCCTCAGCAACACTACTCATCCTCACTTTCCCTTCTGGGAGACAAGACAGACTTTGTGATGGTTGGTCAGAAAACTGCCACTGAAGTGGGGCACAAATTGGAAGTACAGCAGGGCATGGAGGAGGGGTGTCCAGGAGGTAACTGAGAGTAAATGGAGAGTAATTGGAGACTCAAGACTCCCTGCCTTATGTTCAGGTAAAAGCCTGTCAGCACCACTGCCCAGAGAAATCCTGTTCCAGGATGAGAGGTGTGACAGGCCTTTAAAAATCCACCAACAGCTGATCTGATCTCTTGGCTAGTCTGACCGGGGATGGAAGAGGATCTGCAAATCGGGGTGCTGTGTTCTGTAACCAGGCTTCCAGAGTCTGTAGGTCTCCATGTTTGTGGGGTGGTTTGCTGTTGGGATTAGTGATGGGTGCTGTCTCTCCCCATGAGGACTTGCTCTAGCAAAGTGTCAAAAACTCATAAAAGTGCTTCTGGCCCACTGGAAAATAAAATAGTCCTCAATGGTGTCTTTTCCAGACAAATATCAAGCCACTTCTGCATCAGCCTATTAATGTTATTTTCAGCTGCTTTGTTCTACTTTGTGCTGACTGAGATTTAGCAGACTCTTCAGGCAGCTAATCCTGTCAAACAACATGCAGTCAAGACATTCAAATGTAAACAAACTTCATTTTGCACGTTGCCATTGGTTTGACTGAGTGGGGCTAATCTTACACCTGATGACCAGACTATCCTGTTTCCCCTTTTCAAAAAGACATCTGAAAACCATGGTGACCACTGAAATAAGAAGGTGGAGATGAAGACCTGACAGTTCCCATCAATTTTGAAGGTGTGCAAGGAATTGGTGGGTGTTAGCTGATGGCGGTGATGGGCACGAGCAAAGGAATGGGAATGCCAGGAGGAGATGAGGAGGCCTTGTGACTTGATGTAGTCTGTTCACTGCTTTCAGAGTCTTCACTGGAAGGTGAAGACCATGATCTGTGGCCTGCTGCACCCTGCCCTGTCTCTTATCTCTGGGGACTCTGGACCTATTCCTCAGCCAGTCCCTGCTAACAAGCCCTAGTAGGTGTTGGAGAGCGAACAGCTCAGAGTACGTTCAGCTCTTCAGGGTGTTTGAGGCTCAGCAAAGATGCAGAAAATTGCTGGGCACATTGGAGCTCCTGTGCTGCAGTTCCTGCCCTGCATAGCCCAGTTTCTCAGGGCATTGGTTGCACCCTAAGCAGAGGGGAGCAGTGGTTGGGTGGAGGTCAAAGACTGCTCCCTTTATTCTGGTTGTATCCTGTGGAACTTCTGGGATGGAGGAGGCTGCACTGTCACCCCAAGGCCAGACGGAGCTTGCAGACCTGGAAAAGGTGGCCTGAGCACATAGTGATGAGTCATCTTAGTGTTGGGGTTCAGCTCTGCCAGGCCACATGGTGAAACTTCCATTGTTTATCCAGGTCTCATGCTCTTTGCAGCACTGCCTGTGTGTGATACTCCTCAAGCAGGCAGTCTCCCAGCAGTTAGCAACTCTTGTTCTGCTGCTTCTGTCATCCCAGGGGTGCCTTCTGATGTGCCTCAAATGGTGGCTCTGAGTCCAGACTATCAATGTATGTGTTTAGGAGCATATTGTTCTCTGCTCCCTGGGCAGAGAACTCTCTTAGCTGGACCTTTGGTTTGTCCCATAATGGCTAGTCCTGCTTCAGTGCTGCCTGTGCTGCCTTCCTACCTCTTGTGATCTACTAAGGAGGAGATGGCATTGTAACTAAATAGGTCACCAGGTGCTCTCCACCTCTGCATCCTTCCTCATGGTGTAGCCATTCTTCCCCTTCTTGCTGTTTGCTTGCCCTGGCTCCCCTGCGGGGGTTGCCTGATCTGTTTCAGTGAGTTGTGGATGACCTTTATCATGGATTTGAGGCTGCTGGGCACAGTCACAAAACCTAGTGATGAGTGGTTGCACCCTCTGTTGCATACCCTTCCACCCATTCTCAGGGACTTGCCACTTCTTACTCACTCCATGGGTAGGTGAATTGCATTTCTGACAACAAAACTGATTGGTGCCCATTTTGGAAAGAAAAACACTCTTCCCTAGTTGGACCTCCCTTTCTGTACTGAAGGACCCCAGTAACCTCCCATGGGGTTCTGAATCGTGAGTGAATGCATGCATTCGCCAGTCAGGTAGTAATTTTGGATGGGATGAATCTGCAGGAAGATTTGTATTTGTCAGTTCTCCAGATGCCGCTGTTTTTGTCAGGTGCTAGCATCTACTTTGTAATAAACTACTGTTAGCTCAGGGTCTTTGTGTTCAGTCTTTGTATGGAACTGAGAATATTTACTATGGTCTTGCCTGTAGTGGAAATTAACTGCAAAGGTTCTCCCTGTTTTGTTATATTGCTAATTGACTGGATCATAAACCTAGAGGAAAAACTTCACTGGGAGCTTCAGTTTCTTTTTTTATTGTCAGTGTTTTCACCTGACTAGGACTCTTGCTGTATTTCTGAAAAAGTTCAGCTGAAGGAACAATGGTGCTCAGAGCTCATCTTGCAGTCTTTAAGCTTAAGTGGCTGCATAAAGTGAGGTGACTAAACTTAACTGATTTGTATACTTCAGATTCCTTTTAATGGTGGTGATAATTCCATGAGTTACTTTTCCTAAAAATGTTTACCAGAAGAGAACTGGATCTCATGGCCTGGCTTGTTTTCAAGTTTGCTGCTTTTGCCAATGATTTTTTGCAGTTTACAACATGTTTAATTTCTGAAGGTGCAATGTTTTGTTCATTTGGAAGGAATATTGAAACTTAGAGGAAATGCTTTCCACTGACGTTCTTCCCCAAAGCATACAGATATTGCAGAACCATTGGCACGCTTCCAGACCTTGTGTTCTGGGTGTTACCAGAGATAAATACCCAAAACCCCCCACAAGAGGTCACCTTTAGAATGTCAGTGGAGAGTGAAAGCCTCCCTTTAATTACCTGTGCATATCAGTCATGGAGTTTGACATATGCAAAGAAAAATTGTCTTCAATTTTTTTCCAGCTTCAACAATTTGTCTGCTAAAAGCTGTTATTTCTCTACAAAATCTGTTGGCTCGTATTAGCAAAGCAGGGTTTGTGGAGTGCTTCCAGGTGCTAACAGGCATCAAATCAATGTGGTGTTTAGAAATTCCCTGGAAAACATCAATCCTAGAGACTGAGAAATGCAGTAAAATGCCTGATGCATTCCTGACATGAATATTTGCAGCCCAGGCTTCGCAGGCCTGCACTTCTGCGTGTGCAGCTTCATCACTGCACATTCTTACACATGCACGTAGATAGAGGGCACAGTAGCTGACCAAATTCTTTATCACATATGGTTCTTCCCCATTTCCAGCCAACCAAAGACCATGGTGATGTGGCACTTGGAGCCTTTCAGTCATGCAAAGTGTGACTGCACTTCAAAGAAACACAAAGCACCGACATTTGTGCTGTAGCTGTAGGCTCAGCCTTTCTGTGTCGCACCTGATGAACTTATGGTAAGGATGGCCGACATCTAGGCTGGCCTTGCTTCAATGATATTGATAATGGGTCTGTTCTTGCACTGATAGAATAATTTTTGGTTTCTCATGCAAATATTGCCTGGTTTAGTACATGCTTCATAAAATAGCAAAAAAATAGCAGCAGGGTGACTTGTTCACAGCTACTGAGCTGAAGAAATTGCTTGCCATGTTCACACTATATCAAAGTATATCAGTTGCACAAGTGCAAACTTCAGACCACTGCCAAATAAAGATGTACGAAGGCATTGCATGGAAGATTTTGTAGACAGAATAGATAATCTTTGAAATGCCTACTGATGGTGGGGTTTCTCTCTACTAACCTCATAACTTTCCTCTGCACTAGTTGTCTTGACGTCTTCCAGCCATGCTTCTCTCTGTCCAAATAGTTTCGGGACCTTTGAATCTGTTCATTAGGGCTTTGAGTTCTGGTAACACAGGACCTACATCCAAATCTTTCTTAATAATACGTGGCCAAATGTGCCATGCTCACAGACTTCCGGTACTGTTAGTGCAGTGATATATTGCCAGCTCAAGGGCCTTCTGGAAATGGTTTCAATTTACCACTTCTGTGTTCCAGATCCAGCTCTTGGCTTTCCATTCTCACAAAAACTGCTTCGGATATGTCCTTTGCTTGGGGATCTGCTGTCTCATGGGGCCAAAAATTTGGATCTCTGTTTTATTAAATTCTTTGTTGGTCCCCATCAGTGTAGCGTTAATTACACCTCTCCATGAAGGGGCTTCTGCTCACTGTTGTTCTGTTTTCTTTTCTAGACACTGTATCACTGCACCCCAATAACTTTAAGGCTTTCACTTCAACAAGGGTAGATAACCTATTTTTCAGACTTCATGCTTGAAAGACACAGATATCTTGGCCTGCCAACCCAGCCTGGATGATAAAGTATCTTTTCCATGTATGGGTTTGTGCCTTTCAGAAGCTCCTGAATACATTACCTTGCTTGTGGAGAGGTCCTAGGTGTGTGTCTCCACAGAGACCGTCTGTTTGGATAGCAACTTATTTTAGATTGCAGTTATCTGAGTGTAGCCCCTGGCTGTAAGCACCTCATGGCAGTGCACTGCAGGCCCTGGCAGTGGTGCAGTGTGCGTCCATCCTTCCCCACGGCTTCTGCAGTGTTCTCTCTTCATACCTGCATCAAATGCTGCTCCCCTGCTTGAGCATCCAGCAATTAGTGCTAGACTTTGCAAACGGTGAAATTCCCATTTGCTTTGCTTCCAAGCCACCCCTGCCTAGCTGCACCCATGTGGAATTGTGTTCGAAGTTGTCCGAAGTCAGAACAGACGTGTGGACCACAGCCACATGAAAATGGAAATTACTTGCCTAGGTGCTGTACAACAGACATGCTCCATGTACTCAGTACTTCTCTTTCTTCCTCATAGTCCCGCATAACTTTTTTCCAGATTTTTTGTTAAGCCTTGTGTGGTCACGGCTTAACACATGGGGAGGTTAAAGTCTCAGCCATGATCCACTGTTACAGGACAAGAAGTGTGTCTGATCTCAAGTTCTTGGGCCGAGTTACTGGAGTTTGGACAACATACTCCTGTCCTCAGTAACTTCTCCTGGCTCACAGAATCGTATCCTCACTTCTGATTAACAAGTAAAGCTTGTCAAACTGATGAATTTGAAAGATTTTTCCTGATTCAGTGAGGATACTTTAGCCTCGTGGTCTTAGGTTAGTGTGAAAAAACACTACTGCAACTAGCAACGTATGCATCAGACTACTGAATTCCTGTTCAGTACCAGAAGCCAACTTTTTCTGTAGCTGTGAATGACGAAGGATGTAATTTAGAATTGAGTGCGACTGGAGTACTCCTGGTACTCCAGTCTGCCTTCGTCAAGCCTGACACCGTACCTCATGTTTCACGTGTGCCCCTTAGCCTAGAGCAGCTGAAGTCTCACCATCTCCTCAGTACTCTGCCATAGGCTCCTGCTGTGCCCCAAGGTGCAGTTTGGTTTGGGGCAGCACAGGAGGGAACATCCTTTTTGAGTGAATAAGGATTTAAGACACGGTTTACCTAGGCTTCAGGGTGTTCTGGTGGGTATGATCTCATTCCCTCATTGTTCAAGTATGAACAGTTTGGGCACTGTGCCTGTTTTCAGAAGCAGCTTGTGAAGAAAACAAGATTCCCATTTATTGGCAAGTCATCACGGTTCTGGAGGTAGCTGGTCCATTTGAGGAGATGGGGTAGTCAAGCTGCTCCTGAAGGGAGGTCCAGGAATCTGGCCTGAAATGGGAAGGGCTGCAGCTGGTAAGATCTTGGTGGGCCTGAAGGCACCTGGAAAAACGCCAGTTGAGAACACAGAGCAAGCACAAATGTTTGATGAAGGAAGCAATAAGGGATGATCTTGTGCTAGCCTTCACTTCCCTCCGCTTGTCATGTTCAGCCTACTTTTATTTTATTGCTTGCCCTGTACAATCCCAGCTTTGCTGGATGCACCATAGGAGTATCCTGGATGGCAGCTTTAAGCTAATGGCTTCAACTTTATTTAGGCTAATCCAGGCCTAGTTCTGCCATTGTTAGGAGGATATTGGTTTATTCTCCATGATGCCATAGCTGGGGTGATTAGCTCCAAGTGTGCAGAGGCATCACCCACAGTGCACCAGAGAGGGAGAGCAGTGCTGGGCCCCAGTCTGGGTCAGTAAGGGTTAATGTCAGGTACGTTCACTGACTGCCGGACTGACTGCCAGGTGGCTTCAGTGTGTGCTCAAAGATAAGGGGAGTCCTGAGTACTCAAGTCCTGCAGTATCACCAAGGATGAAGGATCGTGTTCAGCTGGCTCCAGGGAGGCGGTTTGGCTGTGGCCATCCAATTAGGGGGCTGGAGGGAAATGCTTGCCTTCGTGTTTGTGGTGTAGGGAGGCAATGGGGTCACAGTCTGTGAACAGGGGCCACATGATGCATCTTGGCCTTGAAGTCCTAGGAGAGGCTTGGAAGTGAGCTGGTGCAGATGAGTCCAGGGAGGCCTTGGACCAAGTTAGGTGATTCTCCTCCCAGCTGAGCTATCTGTGTCCTTGGACGGTGCTTAGCAGAGGAGATGTCTTTGGGGACTGAAGGGTCTGTGTATCCTTAAACCTTGTTTCCATAACCTGATTCCACCGAATTCTAGTTCAGGTTGAATGCATAGAACTTGAAAACAATTGTGTTTATCCATCTGTGCAAATGCCAAAACCAAGGAAGTAACTCTGGGGTTCAGATGCCTTGGATTAAAAAGTACTTTAATAAAGTTGTTAACAAGGATAAGCACACTGGGAAGCTAATGGAAGGCGGCTGTTGGTGGGAGTGTGAGTAGCTGGGTAACAGGCCAGCAGCATGCCCTGTGCCACTGAAAAACGATGCTGCATGCCAACAGCATCCAAAGATCCGTGGGACTGGCTCCAGAAGCAGT